GTTTTCGGAATCGATATTGTCTACAACGAATGCAATGACTGACAAAACCTTGAAAGGAATAAGGAGTCGATAGTGTCTAATATTTGTTCAAAGTCGTTTTCTAAAGATTCTTTTGTTTTTCCTTTGTCAACTAAATGAAAAGTCTAAAACTTCCATGAGACTTACTGGATTAGGAATGCCGGTTTACCAATCATTGGTCAGCATTTCTAATATCAACCTGGTCTAGAATCATTTGCCATTCATAGTACCAAAGCAAATCATCTGACAGTGAATAAAGCATAATCCTATCTACTAAGTTTGGTGCAGTTAAATGTTGCTGACTACCATAGCCAAGATCAACTTATCCTATTCCGTACCTTCTGATTCATTAGAATTTTCTTCCGATTCATTAGAGTCAGAAGTGGATTCAGTAGCCGAAGTCGATCCATCAGGAACTGTTGGAGATTCAGTAGCCGAAGTCGATCCATCAGGAAGTGCTTCAGGAGGTTCAGTAGTCGAAGTTGGTCCATCAGGAACTGTTTCAGAAGATTCGGCAGTCGAGGTCGATCCATCAGGAACTGTTTCAGAAGATTCGGCAGTCGAGGTCGATCCATCAGGAACTGTTTCAGACAGTTCAGTAGTCGAAGTCGAAGTCGAAACAATTTCGCAGTTGGGTGGCTGAATTCAATGATTGCCTCATATTTTCTTGAACAAGAGGGTCACATAAGTAATGTATTTAGAAAGGCTGCATGCCGCTTGACCAGAAGTCACTATAATTAAGACTAGACGGATAGGCAGTGGCAGTTTTCCGAGAATTAAAATCAAATACCGAAATGCCTTCACAACCACTTTGCGATTTATTGCATAATGTCACTTTGCACTGAAAACGAATGGTAAGCTGATCGGCAAATTTGAACGCTGGCACCACCGAATGTGCTACCGTGAGATCATCATTATAAATCAATGGTTCCATTAATGTGTGGTCAATGACACAGCTGGAAATATTTTTAATTAATTGATCATCATTACTGACCACATAGCCAGGAGCCATATGCTAATTTGAAACAAGTTATAATATTTTAGAAAACTTGCAAGAAATCATGAGTTAATTGGTGAAGTTTTTTTCTGTGGGTCATTTATTGATGGAAGGTGAAAGTGAAATTCAAGAAATTATTACTAAGTAAATTATCCTCACCTTACTAATAGTCAACATCAAAAAGCTTTTCATAATCCAAGCTTATACTTGACAGCTAGGCGAAATTATTTTCCAAGTAAATTAATCTTACCCTTGTTTATCGACAAGCTGGGAAGTGGTACCATCATGAACAAAGCATGAATGAACAAGTATACCGTACCCATCTGGAAATTATAACTTTCTCAGCTTCGACAAAATTATCATAAAAAATTAATCCTACCTGAATTTAATGCGGGAAAATTTTCAGCTAAATGAGACAGCGTGACAGCATTTTTGCAGAAAAGTTGGTGGACTGAAAATGAATTCAATTCTCAGTCGAGTTGAAATTTTGAAATGGAAGTGGAAGTTGGAAATAAAGTAAAAAAGTAAACGAAATATGAATAAAATTATTTGAGCGAAACTAAATGTGGATCAGATTAAATCAGGAATTAAATAAGTGGATCTAACATTCAATTTAATAATTTAACTGAAAAAAGGACTGCTTGGTCAAGTAGTCAAATCAAATCTTTTTTTCCTGTGATTAATCGATTAGACTGGACGTCAAGAACAGCGTGAATAACATCTCAATAACAGTTTTCTGATATGCGAGGACTCAACAATTTCAATTCAGATCCGTCACCTGATTCACAGCTCCATTTATGGATCAGTCGATCGCCAACACTTGCATATTTTACGGTTCGCCATCTGTCGAATTCATCAGTACTTCGTAGGTACACTTAGTAACGATTCTATTTTCCAGTTTTTTCGTCGCTAACCTATTGATTAAAAACAGAAATTTAATTAGCATATTTGACTTTAACTCCGTTTTGATTTAAAATGAACTAAACTGAATGGCAACAGAGATAAAGAGAACAATTTCAAAGTTTCGCCGAACTTTCAAATTGATTGATATCTTAGTTCTATTCTGTTGAACCTAACAATGTTATCAGTAAGAGATCTTGCTGATACAGGACTTCGTGATCTAACATTTACTCCTGCTTGAAATTGCATTACCCGTTAACTTTCATCTCTTGAGCTGAACTTTCAATTTCGCGTTTATAAAAGCAATTAACACTATACTCGCTATCCGCTTGTGTCAGAAATAAATGATGATGTTGAACGATGACATTCACGTGAAAGAAGATATTTGGTGGTTCTTCCTGCAATATACTATACAGTTATTGATTGTTTAATGCTGTTTTACTAAGGATTACTGCCAGCTTATATTTCAAGTCACTCAAGATTTCTCCCTTTTTCTTCTAACTGAGGAATTGATAAATGGAATTTGTATTACTCTTTTCTTAATAAAAGGATATTCGGTGGTTTTTCCCTGCAAGTTAAATGGATATCTTTAACAGTTATATCTTGGATATTCCGCCTGAAATAAATACTACCTGCGTTTCACATTTCTGAACACAAGGACTTTTATATAAAACATTGAAGTCAAATGGGCTGACAGTTGGATTCCGCGTGAAATCTAAATGGCAGTTTTCATGTGTAAAGTACCCCTTCACATATATATGTCCGTGAAATGGCTCTTCCGGTTCGAAACGTAATCGCAATCTTTCCGGAAAGCATTCCTAAATTTAAATGACAACATGGCTGTGTAGCAGAAAAGATATCTCAAAATTTGCTTCAGTAAACTTTTTGTTTACAACAAGACAATGTGGCATTTTATCATCTGTCGATTTTATCACCATAGGTGTACTATTTACGATCACGTAGATAAACTGGTAGTTATAAGTGGTTAATATAAATAATATATAACAATGCTAAGATAAGAGGATACAATTACCAGTATTGGTTGCTGTTTTAACGTCCATACGTATGGTGACAGTAATGTAATGAAGAGAAATCCCGGGTGTTGTATTGCTACTGATCGTATCAGGAAGTGGAGAAAGTAAGTCAAAGCTAGTGATAATTTGGAGAAGTCCTCACTCATTGGAGAAATTCACTATCAGGAATCAGTGAAAAAGCACCAATCAAAGGGATCCGTGAAACAAAATTTGCAAATTAATTTAAATAAAATCCTGTTCCGTTCCTACCTTTTCCGGTGTAGAACAGGGATGGTGGGAGTATACTGCACAATTTGTTAATCCCTTCGTATTCTCACTATCGATAAGCGTTTCTCCAGCTAATTTACATATATGCATTTATGAACCTGCAACTACAGCCGAAACAAATCGCAAATTTTCAAATAATTTCATATGTACAATTTTGAGTTGTGGAAATGACACAAAAGTAGCATTGACAGATTTCAAATGATGGTGCTAATTCTAAATCACTTTTGACAATGGCAACGAACACTTCAATGATTTGTTAAGCGCTAGCGAGAAACCGAGAAACCGGAAATATCTATGATTTGGTTTCTTAGTCATTTCCAATTTAATGAGGATGCATAATTTCGGCCGTCCAAACATTCCAGTTCATCCATCGCTTGTCTGATTCATAATAGATTCAAGTTATTAGTCTCTGAAAGCTACACAAAGTCATTCTGTATTTTTTTAATAATATTTGCTAAGCTTTTTATCATCGATCAATAATCAATTAAAGCCTTCTTAAATCCTTTTGCACAAAACGATTCGAGAATTTTAATCTTTACAATTTAAAGAAATTCAATACTACCTTATTCTTTTCTTCATAAGGTTTTATATTTGTACATATATTCCTTTACACAATACTCAACAATTCTGGATCCTTTTTTTTCTATCGGAACCTTGTTGTTGTTTAATCCCCACCATTTTGCACGGCTAGGGCCGAAGTTCCTGTTCCTAGTTTCTCTTATCCGGAACTGTTGATTCATGTTTGCATGCAGTGGATTCTTCCCGAATTCGTGATTGCAAGTTTGGGTTCGAGCAATTTATTCATTCGTTCTTGTTGTTTTCTTCTGGCAGCTTCTCAATTTGTCCATTGACCACGACTCGTTTTGTTTTTACTGATACACTTTAAAATTCCGTCGGGTTGTTTCCATACTTCCTTTTCACACGTTTCCGTACTTGAATGAACCAAGTTTTCCTCTATGACTTCTAATTGTAGGAAGACTCGTTCAATCGCTTTGATTGTCTCTATCCAACCCCGGTCATTTCTTCTGATATCTTGAAATTCGTTGTGCGC